AAAAAAAAAAAACCCTAGCGCTCAAAACGTCAGCTTCTCCAAAGTCATTACGGCGGTCAATTTCAAGTTGACCGTGAACAAAGCGTAAGACACGGGAGAGGGGGAGGAGGATTTTGTAAGAACAATGTATTTTTTTTGTTTCTCATTTAGCGCGTTTAAAGCAGAGCACAAACGCTACCATTAAGATAATTTTAGGGTGCATTGCACCCCAAAAATAAACATAACAGTTAACGTTGTCGTGAATAAGTTGATCGTTTTGACAGATCTTGTAGGCAATTTTTTTAACATTTATCATCGTTATTAATCATCTTTTCATCTTATCTGTGTGTTTGTGTTTAAATGGTATCTCTTAAGCCTGGTTTTTGTTTGTGAGATGAGCACAAGCGTAAGCGCAAACATAACCATAGGAAAACGGTAGTGTATAAACACAAGCGTGAGCAAATGAAAAAGAAACATTTTCGATCATTTGGTGACTCGAACTGCGCATGTGTATGTTGCTAGTGCGAACATCCTTGTGCTTGTGTTAGTGTTTGTGCTTGTGTTAGTGTTTGTGCTTGTGCTTGACTCAAAAGTGTGTACCAGGCTTTAGAGGTCAAATAAAATAAAGCTAGAGCCAGAACTCGATTCGTAATAGTTTTGGCAGTCTGAATCCAATTTCAGCGAGTTGTGTTCTCCGATGATTACTTGAAGTAATTCGCTTCGTACTGATAGAGCTGCCTTGGAACGTAGGATAACAGGGAATCAATGAGAGCCTAATGTTTGTACGTCTGGGAGAACTAAGCTGTGTTCACAATAGGCCGAAACATGATCAGTCTGATCACGAATGAAAAGTGTTCACATCAGACAGTGCATTGCGCAAATCATGGTTGAAACATGATTATTCTGAGCACGATAGAAACAACGTCGCGAGGTAGCTTCAATCATGATCAGACCAAACACGTTCAAAATGGCGGGTGGATGCGGAGAGGAGGCGAGTGCCAAAAAGAAACAAAAATGGAGCTATTATGAGGCCAAATGTCTAGTTGAAATATGGGCCGATGAAGAAATACAACGGCAATTATCGGCGATGGGTAGAAAACACAATATTTGGGAGAACGTTGCCGCGAAACTTAATGACAAATGCGAGTACCATGAAACAGCATAAATTATACAACCATGCATGAAACGTGTTTGAAACCGACATCTGATGTGAACGATGCAATAACAAACATGTTTAGGCAAAACATGTTTCCTTGAAACTATGTTTCGGCTTCAATGTGAACACAGCTCAGATCGAAATTATAAACACCATCTGAACTACCTCGAGCCCGCATATCGTGGTATGAATTGCATATTGTCGCACAGTGGAGCTATATCTCCATAACAACATCAAACACTGGAGAGTTCTTTAAGAGCAAATACTGACCCAGACCACATGTTTAGCAGTCTATAGAACCGTCAACATTTACTTGAATTTTAAAGGATACTATATCGTGATAAAAACTATCCATTAAGAGATTTTTGTACTTACGTTTGCTTCCTCGGCAGCTTGCTCAGGTGGTGAATGCCTCTCGTTTAAATAACTTCAATTTAGCCTCACTAGCCTTTAGTCAGAGCTTCTCTGGTTTCGTGGACTTCTGGTCTGTAACGGCAGATCAGAACAAAGTTAGCACTAGCCGCTTAGAAATGCTTCGAAACTTTGTTTGTCAGTGAAAAGAAAAATAGTGAAATAGTCCGACGCCAGCAAAATTTTCACAAAGGAAGATTTACGTAAAAGCTGGGGAAATTCCCTTCACAAGCGCCAGCTGTTCCGGAATTGTAGACCGGGAAACCTTGTTCCCAGGGTCCTCTCTCTTCCTCCCTCGAGAAAGTACCCTGCAGACCTCTCAACCTCAAAACACCGAAAATCTGGAGACTGATGCAAAAAAATCTGGAGATTTCAGTGAAAATCTTGAGACTGACCGACCGGCAGACAAAACCAAGTAAACACAGGTTCTAATTAAGATAACGTGTTTTTCTTTTTTTCCTGCTTATAATATATATTCCATGGGAATGACAAGGAACCACATCCTTCCCATGTCAGATCAAACTGGATACCACCAGTACAACCTTCTATTGCCCTTGAAAGCTACTTGGAAAATGTCAAATTAAGCATTGCTGAAATAGAAATAGCAAAGCTAAAGAAACAGGTTTGTTAAGTTAACTATGGATTTGCACAGAATTGGCGCAAGAAACTCACCTAAGCAAGCCAAAAATGAAATTATACAAAAAAATTTATTCTTTCAGCTTTCGCCTCTATTTACCGTGAGATTTGTCTGTCTCGTCGTGAGACCGTGAGAATGAAGTGAAACTGTCATTAGCTCTGTGCGGTTTTTCATTCCCGTGTTATTTGGAGNCTTCGCAGGAGCTCGAGATACAGCAGTGGAACAAATATCACGAATTGTTTCTCAATAATCCAAAGGGGACAAATTGTTGTAGTATCTTTCGTAAATGACCATGAAGCAAATACAATCTTGGTGGTAATTATGGTCTTACGCCTATGGGCGGCTAGGGAAGAAACGAGCATTTAAGGTCAAAGTTTCCTTAGAAACCACTTTTCGATCCAAACATGAGTGCAAATCTAATGCTTCTTTTTGTTCCAAAGAATCAGAAATTATCGGTGTATGCATAATTATAAATTATTTTAATCAGACTGTACATTGCCGGGGTTGATCGCAGCGATCTTACCGGATAGTCTGCATAATAAGTGGAAAGCGGAAATTACGCAGAGCCCTGGTTGCGGAAAAAAAAAGATTATCATCATTCGCCAGGCGACAGTGACGATTTAAACTACCCTGCCGCCTCGTATGCGCCTAGTGCAGAGACAAAATTAGTGATTGAGAAGGGAAGCTTTTAGTTTAAGGATGGTGTGATTCAGATTGAAATAAGAAATTGCTCCTTACCTTTGTGATTAGGAAAGTTTCTTTCCCATCCCGTTGTGCTAGAGGAATCGGCAGACTGCTTATCATAGGGAAACTAACACGACGCCACGTCACGATCGATCAGGGGATTCCCCTTTTGTTCAGCTAGATATAACGTGGACGCGTTCATTTCCACCACGTGCAAATGACCTGTTTCTAGAGCGATATCTTAAAGGCGTAAAGTGCTATAATCAAGTTATAATCACTTTGAAAACGAGTTGAGGGTGCAGGCGAAACTTCCAATTAACGGTAGGACACATCTGATCCATTCGCCCTTGAGTGAACTTGGGTTGCCCTTGAACATCAGAGACATTAAGAAGTTCAAATTCCAATCTGGGCTTACCAAAGTTTGATTTTCTCGGCGTATTTGAACAGTAAATGCTTTGTAGGCTATGCTTTATTTTGTTGGACTTTGTGACGAACGTTTTGATCGATACTTCCCAGAAACCATTTACGCTGTGTCGCTGAACCGCTCAGGAGGCTATTCCTGGTAGTGAGGTAGAAGCAAAAGAGCCGGTCACCGCTCAGTCAACGGAAAATCCAGCTACGTACGTTGGAATGTTGGAATCAACGCTTTNAAAAAAAAAAAGCAAAAAAAAAGCAAAACAAAGAGAATCCACGTGAATAAAAAAAAAGAAACAAGGAAAAATAGGCCCTTTGCACAAACCGGTCACATGGGACGGTATTAACTATGCTGGGACGCAAGTTACACAGTGGGACTTTCAAAACAAAGGAACTCATACCAGTCCAGCCCGACTCTCCTTTGTTTCGAAAGCCCCAATGTGTTACTTGCGTCCCAGTATAATTAATTCCGTATCGTGTAACCGAATCATGCAAAGGGCCTGTTGGATCAGAACCGCATGATACACACGAGATGATCCATCCGCGCGCGAGCGTTACTTTAGTCGCGCACGTCACGACACATTTTACAGAGCATACTACAGTGAACCCCACCATCTTGAAATCTCAAGGGAAACGAAAAATGATTTGTGATACTGAGCGGGCTTCGATATTGCAAAGAGTAAACAACTGAAAATAATATCCAGGGAAAATGATTTAAATTCGAGATAGCGGAGTGTGCGAGATTTCCAGTTCGAGACCGATGAACGCAGCTCAATTGGATTGTGTATTTTAAGTTAAAAATTATAAACCAACGCGCATTTCATCGAATGCAATACGTTTTAGGAAAATTCCTATAGAATTCGAAACAGGAGTAGCCTTGTGAAACACCATGCCATGTTAAAAAATCCATTGCTCTACGTTGATTCCCTTCGCAAGCATAGTTAGTATTAACATTTAACTTCACAGCTGGAAATGAGATTTATTCCGTCGCCATACGAGTTCTAGCCTATATTTTAGGATTATATTGCTTGCAGTTATTTTATGGCTTGAATTCTTGTGTGAAAGAATTATTCTGCCACTGCGAACTTTTGCACGGATAGTTAATCGCACCGTGAGCCTCACATGTTTTTAAAAAGCACTCACTAAATTATTTATGCAAGCATCAACTTGAAGCGACGCAAAATCCTTAACATCAGATTCTCAATAGCTATCTTAAAGACTTACCCCGCAGTAAACCTGCGCGTCCTGTTTGGGCTAGTTACTAACTGGGTGAACTTTTTACCCAGGAGTTGCTAAAACTTTAAACTAACGCTTCAAACCAACTGCAATCTTGATCGCGTCATGAGATAAGCACGTGGTCGCTTTAAAAGCCGAGATGTCTAAAGGGTATTCCCCTATCAGCGACCTGGCCTCTGATGATACGAACCTATTAAAGGCCTGGTTCTGGTTTGGTTCAGGGTGTGCTATAATTATTTTATTCGGAACATTTTCCTATGTGTGATTCACGATTTTTTAGAGTGAAATGTCACATCTCTTCTGAGCTGAATAACTGATCATGTCGCTCTTGTAAGGTAAAGCTGTTCATTTATATTGTAGTTTATTTTATTTTTATCTTCGGCTGTAATTATCAAAGCCGATGTTATTTCTGGATTTTGAAGATCCATTTTTAGCATTCAGTACGACGTTTGATCAATATTTATATCGGCGTTATTT